ACATAGGCCTACTTGGGTGAAATGTCTAAGCTATCGTGACATAGGCCTACTTGGATGAGATGTCTAAGCTATCGTGACATAGGCCTACTTGGATGAAATGTCTAAGCTATGGTGACACTATCGTGACATAGGCCTACTTGGGTGAAATGTCTAAGCTATCGTGACACTATCGTGACATAGGCCTACTTGGATGAGATGTCTAAGCTATGGTGACATAGGCCTACTTGGATGAAATGTCTAAGCTATCGTGACATAGGCCTACTTGGATGAGATGTCTAAGCTATCGTGACATAGGCCTACTTGGATGAAATGTCTAAGCTATGGTGACACTATCGTGACATAGGCCTACTTGGGTGAAATGTCTAAGCTATCGTGACATAGGCCTACTTGGATGAGATGTCTAAGCTATAGTGACACTATCGTGACATAGGCCTACTTGGATGAAATGTCAAATGTGAGGCATCGTGGGGAAATGAGGCGCTGCTCAAAATAATGAAATCAAAAGAAAACAGCATTTTTATGGTGATGGGCAATTTTTCTTTTTTCAGCTCCACACCTTTCATGTCTATTTAGAAACACATTTTTGTGCAGACGGTACTGAAAAACTTTGACTAAAGGCATAAAAAAAAGAAAATTTTCAGTTTCCGAGGACTCTCAGGCTATGGAAGTTACTAAACTTTGGCGGCCATTTTCTCACTAATTTTACTTCTGAAACCAGGCGACCTTGACCTCTTTCAATCGCCAATATTTCGACTTCTATTCAATATAGATGGATATTTTTTACCCAAAGGAAGGCAAATGGACAAGCTTTAACTTTCAGATGATACCAATAACCCCATATTATATGCCCAAAAATTGACGAGCGCCTGATTCCACCACGTCGTGCCACATATTGTTCAAAATAATCCTAATCATAACAATGACAAAATAAAGCAATCATTGCCAGCCCAAAAGAAAGTCACAGAGATAAAACAAAAGCTGACAGCTGACAACCATTTTGACCAAACATTCCTTCAAAGCAGCCTGACCTGTCGTGATGTACTTGGCTGAAAAGTCATTTGTCCATTCTCAAATAATTGTCTTCTTCTTTTTTTCCGTTTTTAAATTCCTGCAAAATCCTCGGCTAGAGAAGAATCCAACAACGATTCCCACGAGGAACAAGCAGCGAAAGACGAAAGACGAAAGTTACAGAAAAAAACCCGACACCTAAACGTAGATGTACCGTTGCGACAGTTTTTTCGTCTGGCTTGAAAGTTGCCACAGTCTGTCCCCGTCGTTTTATGCAAGAAAAATTCTGAAATTAGGCAAACTGAGTTAAAAAATGTGAAATTATGCGATTCTGTTAATTTTAACAAAGAATGATAAAGGAAAATAATCAGAAATTATGCAAAAAATGATCACACTTGGCTAAATTATGCGGGGTGCATAAAACCACGGGGGCAGCATAGTGTCAATACTGTCGCACACAGCCTAAAGCTGACACCTCAGACACTGGTCTTCTATCCCTGCAGTCAGATCAAAACTATCAGCACCCTAAGCAGAGACGAGAACAAACTTCCCTTCCTTCTCCTTCCACTCCCCTCCTCCTCCTCTTCCTCCTCCTCCTCCTCCTTCTCCTAGTCTGTGGAGACTAACTTGTCCACGAGGCAAAAGTCCCAACATTCATTCACTGAACCACTCGGTCATAACACTTTTGTGATGGCTGTTTTCTGCTGTTCTGAGAAAACTTAGAAGAAAAAGGTGCCAACTTAATTAAGGTTTTCCACAATTTAAAAAAAATCGACTGCTTATGGGGTCAACCTTCTACATGTAGCGAAAGCGAAAATGTCTCTACAATTGGATTCTTAATACAGCAAACAAAACAAAAGCCTGCTATACTGAGGACACAGAACATGGAACAGACCTTCTTATAACAGCGGCAAATGGTCGCTTTTAAGCACAAGGGGGCTGTCCCGAAAAATGCTGTTTTGAGAAAATCGAAGGTAAATTTTTGCCCCTTGTTCAGTTTCTTTAAAAGACAAGGAGAGTTTTCTCTATAACCAAACAAATATACACACCAATGAAACCAAACTTCTCCTATAGGTAGGGCAATGCCCACTTTTGGTGTAGGTCAAAATTTCTGGAAACCCCAAAATCTGGGTTAGCCCGCTTGTCCTTGAAAGCTATAACTAGAAACCTAGAAAACAAATGACTCGGGCAATTGTGGAGACTGCACCCATGTGTGGCCAGGAGTCCTAAGAACGGTCTGCACACGCGATGTTCACTTCTGTTTTTTTTTGGATCTAATAAATGGTCATTTGAAAAAAGGAAAATAAGGAGGGTAAGCTGATTAAAATAATGTTTGGCCATTCCTAAACCAATCTTCCCATTCAGATCCAGCCCCAAAAATATTACAATTTTTTTCTTAAAGCAATTAGTGGTATGCATGCTCTGGCAAACCACAATAAAAAATAAAAATAGCAAAACTTACGCAAATGTTTGAAATTTCAAATCTCTTAGAACAAAATTGTGTATTGTTTTACTATTGGGGGGGGGGGGGGGGGGGTTGTTGGACTGAAATCTTGGATCATATTTATTTCGACAATAAGAAACACAAACACAAACCTTGCTCATCTCCACAAGGTTTTCCACAACTTAAAAAACCCCCAAGTGCTCACTTTGGTCACCCATTTGCATGTATATTTTGAATGTTCTTGAAACCTTAGAGAACGGAACAATTACCTTGTCCTGAGAGGCAAACACTGGGAAAGCAGGCACACATTCGCAATGAGGTTGTGATTTTCAAGTCAATTGCAAAACTTGTCCTGAAACCGATAATCTTATCTCAAAAACCATCAAACAACAACACACAAACATTTACACACACCAACCTACTCCCCCACACTTCAGACCGGCGATGATTTTACACGCGCAATCGTAAATAAGTTCTAAAATTTTAAAAATGAGACGTAATCGCATGAGAATATAAATAAAAAATATACAATAATGAGCCATTTCGTTATATTTTCATGTGCAAGTATATATATATATATATATATATATATATAATATATGTATAAATAAATTCATAATATATAAATATTTCATTATCTATAGATCTGACAACTAGAGCAATTCAATAACAGTAGCAATCTTTGACTCTTTCCGGGCGCAGTTCTTTCATCCTCGAAGCTTAACGGCAACACAGGAGGAAAAAGTGAAAAGTAAAAGTAAGCTATTTCCTCAGCTACTTGACATATGTCGTACACTCTGTGGACAGGTGGCGCTGTGTTAGTGATTTTGTGAGGCAGCGTGGTGGAATCAGGTGCTCGTCAAAATACAGAAATCAGAGAAACAGGCATTCTTCTGCCAGTTTGGAAATTTTTATCGAATTTTTATTTTTTGGCTCAACACTTTTTATGTCCATATAAAAGGACATTTCCAAGTGAATTTTACTGAAAAACATTGAAATTGATTAGAGGCACAAAACAGGTCATTTTTCAGTTTTCAAAGACTATTTAGCTGTTGGGGTTATCAACTTTCGCGGCCATTTTCTTGCTAATTTCACCACTGAAACCAGACGACCTAATTTTCTTCAATCGCAAATATCTTGAGTTCTTTTTAGACAGATGGATATTTTTTTCACCAAAAGGAAGGCAAATAAATCAGCTTTAGGATGATACCAATAACTCCACATGCCCAAACATAGACGAGCGCCTGATTCCACCGCGCCGCGACACATTTGACAAATGTCACACGCTATGTAGACAGGTAGTGCAGCGTGTGGCAAGCCATGTGGAAAGAGTTTAAAAAAACAAAAAAACGTTTCAAAATTCCATTTGAATATGGCAATTGAACAGTCCAAACAAACAACACGCTTATGTGTGAAAACAAAGGCATTGTTTATCATGTACGCAAACAAATAAAATGCTTATGTATGCAAACAAATAAAATGCTTATGTATGCAAACAAATAAAATGTTTATGTATGCAAACAAATAAAATATTTACGAATGGAAACAAACGAAAGTTTAGATATGCAAACAAAGAAAACGTAAACTTATGTAAACAAATGAAATGCTTACGTATGGCGCCATACACATCCAACAGGACGCAGACCTACGAGAACAGTATGAGGCGCGACAGGAAGAAGGCCGATTTCCCCAACTCTCATCGCAATAGTTATCACAGTCACAGATGGGCTATACACACACGATGCAGAAAGACGGACAAAAATTCCACTCCCGCGTTACTGAAGAATTCAAACAACAGAGGCCTTCCAAGTGTAACACTCATAATTACACACGCATGCACACATACACACACACACATACACACAGACGCACACACACATATATATATATATAAATGGGTAAAAATAATCTTTCACAAACACATACACACAGACGCACACACACACACATATATATATATAAATGGGTAAAAATAATCTTTCACAAACAGCGAGACTGTGGTTTGTCTTTTTTCCACAACAGCGTGAACCAAAAGGTTAGCGATTGGAAGAAGTTTGGGGGGGGAGGGTTAGGAGGATGGAAAGGGGGGGTTGGAAGGGGTAAAGGATGGATAGGGGCTTTAGTGGTGGGGGGGGGGGGGGGGCATCAACTATTTCCCCTTTTTCCCGATTCCTCCAACAAGACAAGTGAGGTCAGTCCAGCGACAGAACAGACAGCTTGGAAGGCTGAGGGTGAGCAACATTTGGGAGGCAGCGTGGTGAAATCGGGCGCTCGTCAAAATAATTAAATGGAAGAAACAGGCATTTTTCTGCCAGTTTGGCAATTTTTATCAAATTTTTGTCTTTTGAATCTGCATCTTGTATTTTCATATAAAAACATATTTCAATGTGAATTTTACTGAAAATCGTTGATTTAAGCCACAAAATATTTCATTTTTCAAGGACTCTTAAGCTATTAAAGAGTCCAAACTTTGGCAGCCATTTTCTCGATAATTTCACCACTGAAGCCAGGCGACCCTGACCTCCTTCAATTGCAAATATTTCAACTTCTTTTCAACATAGATGGATATTTTTTCCACCAAAAACAAGGCAAACGAACAAGCTTTAAGATCAAACCCGTAACCCTACATCCTTAAAAATTGCCAAGCGCCTGATACCACCACGTCGCGACACATTCCACTTTTTTTCCATTCCTACAACAAGGAAAGTGACGTCGGTCCAGCGATGGAACGGACAGCATGGAAGTCTGAGGCTGAACAACATTTGATTGGTTGGTGTAGACTCAAGGAGAAAGACATTGATGGTGGAGGCTGTGTGTGTGTGTGTGTGTGTGTGTGAGTGTGTGTGTGTGTGTGGGCATGTGGGTCTGTGCGTGTGTGTCTGTGCATGTGTCTATGTGCGTGCGCCAGTGTGTCAGTAGTAGTCCCTGTTTGTCGCAGAGTTTCTGCGTATCAAAGCCTCGTTCTGCTTGTCTTCCTCGTAGCGCTGTCGTAACTTCTCAATGTCAAGGACGTCCATCTCTTTCTGCGGCTTCTTGTTGTTTTTCTGTGGGAGAGGAGGAGAATAGTGTTATGATAGCAGGGGTCAGAGGTTGTGGGGGTCAGGGG